TGAGGTGAATTTCCATCTGATGCCTGTCTTTGCTAGATTGGTTGTCTCTTGCATTATCCAGTCGATGGCGAGGAGGAATAAGAAGCCTGACATTACACAACCTTGCTTGACGCCAGTTTTTACTTGGAACCATTTGGATGCTTCACCTCCATCAAGGACTGCAGATTTGGAATCTTGGTAAAGGAGTTGGATTATTCTGATGAGTTTACTCGGTATTCCATATAGCTTCATAATATCCCAAAGGCTGTCCCTATGTAACGAATCAAATGCTTTCTCGAAGTCGATGAAGTTCAGGATCAGGGAAGCCTGCCATTCAAGTGTCTGTTCGATAATCTTGCGTAGTATGAATATCTGTTCGGTGGTACTTCGTCCGTGGCGAAATCCAGCTTGTTCTTGACGTAGTTTCGCATCTATTTCTTGCTTCATGCGCTCCATGAGAGTCTTGCCTAGGACTTTGCTCGCAATAATGAGTAAGGTTATACCTCGGCAGTTGGTGCAGTCCCCTAGGTTTCCTTTCTTGGGTAGCTTGATGATTAACCCTTCTAACCCTTCTAAGGGGGCTCGTTCTTCTTCCCATATTAATTGAATTATTCCATATAGCTTTTGGGTGGATATTTCCAAGTCTGCCGGCTTTGAGAAGCTCTGCTACTATGTTGTCGACGCCGCCTGCTTTCCCGTTCTTTAGAGAAGGAAAATTAACTAATCACAAGTGTCGTGTGGTAAATCTTCTATTTTGATCCCTGAATGAAGGACAGTTTAATTAGAGCAATGAAAAGAGTCCCTTCGTCCATGAAAACGTCTACCTTGCGTGAGGCGACACGCCGAAAAGCCGGAAAGTAAAGGTAGTCGACCGTTGAAAGGTGTTACCATTCGCTAGCCCTTTTAAATCTTCTACCCTCAAGTTTAGGTCCTGTTGGGATATCTCTTAATGACTTTCTTTGGCGTGTCATTTCCCCATCTGTATGTTCTTGAGGTTTGGCAGAGCCGGATGAGCCGATTGTGTTACAGAAGGCAGTATTTTCTTCTGTGGAGAAATAACTCCAGAGATACTGTTTCTCAAAGCCCTCATCCAGGTTTCCCCTATTCTCGAAGGGTATTTTGAAACTCTGTACGTTTTTACTAAACGTGGAGCGAGACAAATTCGTTCTTAGGAGGCGTGGAGCTTCTCCTTTTACAAATCCCTCATTTACGCTTGGTGGAAAAAGTTCGTGTATTACAAGGTCTCTGTCTCTTTAATATGCATTTCCATGTCAAGGGTCAATTCCCTGTTAAATAACTCGCGTCTAGGAATATAATTTCTGACTTTGAAATTACTCATCCCACCGTCGGTTGTGAGTGTAACTGTTGCCATTTTTGTCGAGATTCTTAGGCAGATTGCAGTTTCGAATCTTTCTTAATAACGTCAGTTGCCTCCCAAGAACGAATTTGTCACGGAGGAATGACGGGATTCGCGTAGGCCCGTCCGGCAAACTTTTTAACTTTGAAGGAACGGCAAAGGATAGTGAATCTCCATTACACCTCGCTGCCACCAAAGAAGTGCACTCCAACGCGTCAAGATGCAAATGACTCAATTTTTGTTTCACGACCATGATGCAACGTAATCAGAGTGCGCACACCGCCTAGTGTGCGGCCTACGACCGCGGTACGTTCTGGTTCAAAAGTTGCTTCGACCTCATTTTCATATAACCTCC